GGATAGGAAGAATTCATGCCGTCAAAATGAATATCTTGCCTAGGATCCTCTTTTTGTTCCAGGCGCTGCCTATCCGCGTCTCCAGATCATGTTTACAACCCCTGCAGAGGGCTGTCGGGTCCTTCATGGGGCAAAACAAAAGGAACAGAATTTCCAGATATATCTTATACAGGCCAAAGACTAGGGGGGGACTGGGCCTACCAAACCTATATTACTATTACACAGCAACTCAACTGACTCAGGTTGCGATGTGGCACTCTCCCCCGGGAGAACGGAAATGGACGGATGTAGAATCCCTCATGACAGGCGCAGACCTTCCACAGCTCCTCATGTGGGTGCCTAAAGAGTACAGACCCGAGATCAGGGCCACCTGCCCGACTATACTCAACTCCTTGAGGGTGTGGGACTCCTTCAAACACAAGTTTAATTTAGCATCTGACCCGTTCCACCTTACACCATACCTGCGCAATAGGGCCCTCGCCCCCGGAATGGCAGCCAGAGATTTCAAAAACTTAGAGCGGGTAGGGTTGCAACGCATCTGCCAATTATACCAGGGGACAGAAGTCATCCCTTTTGATACATTGAGACAGAGGGGGTCACCTCATCCCCTAGGACTTCTTTAGATACATCCCTTTCTGTCTCAGTCTTTTCTTTACTTTCTACCTCTACTTACTTCACTAATAAGTCCCTCAGGGGAAGAGCTAGCACAGATTACCGATGGGAGACACCATGTTTTCGCCACTGTATGGAGAGCACGAACTCAGGTAGCTAATATGGGAAAAGTAGAAGACTAGAGCGCTAACGAGCGACCATATGGAAAAAATCACTTTGGTTGAGGCATAACAAAGCGCTAGATTCCCCATTCCCCTTAACTCATACTTTTTCATGTTCCAGATAAAACAAAAATGGTATTGACCATCATAATGCAACCAAAGAGACAGATATGAGCTGCACGCATGGGTCTTGCGAAATGGATACGACAATTTTACATTCATGTACCATCAGACTAGGCAATACCCAACAAATGGATATATATGACAGCGGTTCAGAAACTGTTACAAATCGAATGTATTAACTGACAAATGTCTGGATGGTAAGAAAATGGTAAATGGCATGAAATATGACAAAATGACACATCACAACATATCAGTTTAAACGATACCACATTGTTGACTTCAGCCTTCCCATTCAGGATAGAAATTTAGCCTTCTGCTTCCAAATAGTGACCTCTGATTCTCAATTGAGATCTAGGATGACAAGCACACAATTGATTAACGTGAACCCATTTTCAATAAAATCATCATCTTTAGGAATCTTAATCTTGTACGTTACTGGTGAAATTTTGTCAATCATTACATATGGTCCCTTCCATGAAGGTAAATATGTATTTTTCTCCACCTGTTTTCAGACAAAGTTATACAGATAAAATTGATTTGAGATCTTTTGTATTGGTTTTTAAATCATTATAGGTTTTAACTCTTGTTGCTGCTCTCTCATGATTCTTTTGGGCAAAAGCAAATGCGTCTTTTAAATGCTTGCACAAATTTTCAATACATTAATGCGTAGTGGTAGCATTGATCAGATGTGCGATACAGCAAATGTTTTAGTAAAACTATTTTCTATCCTGTCATCAGTTGAAAAGGTGACAATTTGGTAGCAGTACAGGTATAGCTCTAATCACCATTGAACAAAGGGCAAATTAATGTCCAAGTCTTTTCCAGACTCTCTAGTATAGTGCTTAAGAATGTTAATAGTCTGGTTATATTTCTTTACTCCCCCTGCTAGAGAATGCATGGTAAGCGATGTGTAGCTTGTGGTTAACACCTACAATTTTCCACATCTTAGCCAGTACTTAGCTAATGAAATGACTACCCTTATCTGAATCAATTCTTTGAGGTAAACCAAACATAGAAAATATATGGTTAATCAACTAAGTGGCACACACAGAACTTGTGTTCTCTTTGCATGGAATACACTCTACCCACTTTGTGAACAAACATGTAACGTTTATGCTGATTTTTGCCAGAAATCTTGTGAGTGCAATCTAGAATAAATTATACTTGTATTATTTTATTGGTGCACTATGTTTATGTCTCTCTGTTTAACTCCTTATAAGGACGAAAGAGAAGAGGATTGAGCTTCTTCATCTTCAATGATTTATGTGCCTGCAGTCTTTTATTATCTTGTGAGTGCAATTCTATTCAGCACTTATCTTGGTGACATTAATTCTGCACCATTATCGGCTATCCCTCTTTGTCTCCATTTATAGATTGTATTGTTTATATCTGTGAAGGAGACCTAGGGATCTTCATACAACCTATTTCTACATTAGGGTAATTTTGCTTTCTTTATTTAATCCTCTCTCACTGTGGTACTAATTTGAACATATATATTTGAATAGTGCAACCCAGTATGTTCAGTATCTCAATAATGTGAAGAAAAAGAATACACTCACAAGGATAGAGCCTCCAATCGGCTCTTAGATAAGGCTCTGAGTGATATAATCCCCACTCAGGGATTAAACCGGAATATTTTTATTTGAGTGTTTACAGTGGAAGTGGCATATGAAAGAACAAAAACAGGATATAGTGCTCACTGTTTTAAACCAATAAAAGTGTGTGTAAAAGTTTGAAAATTACTCACAATTTTAAGCTTAGGTGGAATGATCCCCACAGAGGATATATATGAGTAGAGGTAGATGTTGTGATAGTCCCTGGAGAGGCTCCTTTAAGATGATAAAATAAATGCAGAATAAAAAAAATAAAAAAACAATTTTGAGGGTAAAAACAATATTTATTGTAATATACCACACAAAATGAAATAAAAGCAAATTAAAAAGTCCTTTTGAATACTTACAACCGATTTTGCCCTTGGGCTTTTTCAAATGATCAAAAAGTCTACATACAGTGACTGACAGGAGGGGAGCAGTTTCCTGTGATGCTACCCCCTCGGCCAGTGCATACTAAGTATTTTTCCAGTATCCTGGTGGGCCAGTCTGGCCCTTGTCTCCAAGTCCGTAGACATGAGATATGGGCGCTTGGACAGACCTAGGGCTGAAGGGATGTCAAGCGTGTGTGGCAGCAAGCAGGTGAGGAGTACAAAGACAAGTGTGTCTTGCCTACAGTCAAGCATGGTGGTGGGAGTGTCATGGTCTGGGCCTGCATGAGTGCTGCCAGCACTGGGGAGCTACAGTTCATTGAGGGAACCATGAATGCCAACATGTACTGTGACATACTGAAGCAGAGCATGATCCCCTGCCTTCAGAGACTGTGCCACAGGGCAGTATTCCAACATGATAATGGGTTTGCTTGGTGTGGTGTGAGTAGGGAGGCAATTAGTCTCCTGGAGTAAGTCGCTCGGGGTCACTGTCTCCGGGATTCCGTGGATTTTTAAATTTCTGCTCCTTTGCAGATCTTCTAGTGCATCGAGGCAGCTTGTAAGATGAGACTGGTTGCACTGCAGCTCAGTATTTTGGGCTTCCAGCTGTATGCATCAGGCTGTTAGGTCTTCTGAGTTTCACTCCATAGTCTTGACTCTCCCCTCCACAGTTTGTATTTCTTCATGCGGAGGTTGCGCAGCAAGGCTTTATTATCTCCTTTCGTGGAGGGTAGCTCACTATCCTCGTCGGAGGAGGGGTGGGAACTCATCCAGCTCATCCATTGCTTGTTCCTTGGAGGAGGCCGAGGTCGCGTTGCCATTTTGTTTTGGCGCGGTGAGGCTTAAGGCCTTTGCGGGACGAAGGAGAAGGTCCCCAATGTCGCGTGCCCCAGCTGGTTTTGCGGTTCCCTAAAGCTTGGATTTCTTCCCCATCCTGCGTTATCATAGTGGGGGTTGAAAATTGTACTTTTAGGGTGATTAAATCGCTTGTTTCAGGCTTGTTTTGGCGGAGCTCTGCTGATACGTGTCTGCTCGGGTTAGCTGCTGGCTCCGCCCCCAAACAATTCTAAAAAAAAAAATTCTAATAATAAACAAAAAATTATAAATGTATATGTCACATCAAATTAAAGTGTGTATATGTATGTGTATATGTATGTGTATATATATATATATATATATATATATATATATATATATATATATACATACATATATATATATATATACATACATATATACACACACACACACACATACATATACTGGTGCAATAAATGAGAAAAATGGAATTTACAGTTAAAAACACTCACAGAAAAATATACCAAAATTGCATGAAGCAGTTAAAATTAAAAAGTTAAAATTAAAATGATTTTGTTTCTGAAGTTAGAATAATCTATTGTATGCAAACCTTTTTTATTTTAATTGTTTTATAAACAAACCTACCTAATGTAAGTACAATGCTGCTCTCTGGTGGTTAAAATTGGTTGCAAGAGAACAAACAAACCATTCTGTTTTGTATTTAACGTTTGTCATTTTGTCTTTTATTGAGGCATTAGAGTGACACAAGACGTAAAGTATAATCAGGAACAAGGGACGTTTAAAATGTTACTGTAAACTTATTTGAGACCCACAGCCTAACTATGACTTACTTTCAGTTGTATTTTTTCTGTGTTATGTAATGACAAACTTAAACTCAAATAAAAACTAGATTGTCAAAAAAAAAAAAAGTACTACGAGCAGTAAGACAGTGAAAAGAAAAAGAAAAGACAACAGGTCAAAATGAAACATAACATTAGAACAAGACGACGGTCACTATGATTTTGTAATTGTAAATCTGAAGTGAAAGGCCTTCATATATCATTAATCCCTAGTCACCCGATTCCAGTGGTTGGCAGTACACTAGGAGTAGCAGAAGGATAACAGATAGTAGCTGCAGAACCGGAATAAGATAGGGCTCCCCCTTTGCCCCAAGCTGGATTATAGGCTGGCATCACATTGCTACAGACTCGGATCCAAAGTCCAAGTCCATCTCATGCAATGGAGAGCAGCAGGTCCTGGTAGTCCCTCGCCTCTTACTGCGGACAGACATCTGCTGATGTAGGCGATGCTTAGGGGCCAGACCCATGGTGGCCTTAAGACTGAGTGGGCAAACGGGCATTTGTGTAGATGCTGTATCCAAAGGGGGTCTTCTCGCTCTTTGTCGTGCACTGTTTCAATCTCCAGCCTTAGACAATGGTGATGCTGTCAAACGCTCCTCCAAGGTTTCCCAAAAGCTCTCAAAAATGGTTTCCAGCTTCGAAAGGGAGGTTAGTTGGGTCGTCTGTGGCAGTGTCAGGCCTTACCTGAAGGGCGTGAAAGCATCTGCTATCTTGTGCGTGCATAGATATGCGGGAACTGGTGGGACTGAATGCTTGGTGGCAAAAGGCCGTATAGAGAACAGTCCAGTGGGGGGGAAGAAGTGGACCGTGGAGGAGTTCCGTAAGGGTTGATGCTGTGAGGACTGAGGAGAGTGGTTGCCTCACCCATCTTGTGATTCACCAGGCATCACAGGCACTGTAAAGCACCGATCCAATGCACCCGGTCCAGTACAGACACTAGGTAGGATTGTTTCAATGCTGACTGGGAGTGGTAGGGGTTAGAAAACTCATAGATTATTAGCTCAGGAGTAGGAACTCCAGCAAGATGTGTCCTGCCGCCATGAGGCTCAGGCCCGGCCCCTGTATTTAACTTTTTTATATAACTCTTTAGAGGCTTTGTGTTTGTACATGCCTTCCAGACTACTGTGTGCTATTGTTTTAGTTTATATGGCGTTTAAAGGGACACTCTACTGCCCAAATACAAACTAAATAAAAATCTCTGTTTAGTAGATATAGCCCAAATGAAACCTTGCATGCATCTAATAATGCATTTTTTAGTAGGGGGTATATCTAAAATCAGCTTTCAAAAGCTGAAGTTCTCTTTACATGCGCATTGTCATTTTTATTGGCATAGAATAAAAACATTCATACATTTCCCAGATATATACGGACATTACATTTGGTGTTTAAATATTGTCCTCAGCTTTATATAAATCATATAAATAACAACAATAAACCAAAAAGGTCATTGTCAAACATACCCTTAACACTGTACAAACCACCATCCCTCTTTATCTCAAATACCAATGACAATGAACCCAACATAAATAACACTATATATAATATAACCATAAGTATAACATATAACTCCCCCAGGGGTGCTACCATTTAAAATAAACCAACCTGCAGGGGCATATGGAGATCCCCTACATTCTGAGGCTCAGAGCACTGACCAGCTCGAACCTTCCAATACCAACTTAAAACATGACCTTGAACTTATTTAAACTTTCCTATCCCAAATACCAACCCCTTCTATCTGGCAATCTGCCTATCCAGCTCTCCGCCACAGCCCAGTGCTTGACCTCTAAAGCAAACTACGAGCCCCCACCCATCAATAATTAATTCATTAGCCTTACCACTGCACCTATCCACGGAGGCCAGATTCCTGGCATCCTGGCATGGGAAATGCAGATGCCAACCGTAACAAGGTCACCTCATAGCGAGAGAAACACACTCCTGGCAGGACACCAATCAGACCTTAAATAAACTTGTGTCCTAGCATCCCTAGACTTCCTTTCCTTCCAAAAACCTTTCAAGACCTGTCGGACCAGGAAATGCTTGGTAAGATCCTCCAACTCATTCACCTTAAACAGAAAAGACAGCAGAGCCATGTTAGGATCCACAACAGAAGGGGAGACCCTGTTGGAGAACAACCTACACAAAAACCACAACAACGTATCCACCCACAACTCGGCTAAATGATGCAAACCATATCAACTCATCATCCCATGTGCCCCAGCCCTTAACATAGGTTGCCCACTGTACTAGAGACTCCCTCACAAATCCAATAAGCATTTTGTCCCGACGCGTCACTTATTGTCTGGACAGGCTTGGTCCTCCCCCTTCGCCCCCGGTGCTGCCAACCAAAACAATGTCCACTGCAAACGAGACAGTGAGTCAGCAACCCCATTCAACAACCCAGGCACATGTCATGATAGAAAAACAATATCCAAAGAAATGCAGAACAACACAAACCGGGACTGAAGACACAGACAGGTAATTAACTGCATGAACAACTGACATATTGTAGTGAAAAATATAACCTTCTTATTCCACAATGCTAATGAGACAACCAACAGGAAACACTCAAATAGCATTAAAGTGCGTATACGCGCACACTTCTTCCATTCCTCTGTCCAAGACTGGGCACACCACTTACTGGCAAAAAGTGCCCTGAAACCAACACTCCCTGACACATTCATGAACAATTCAAGAAGAGACAGCCATCTGCCTGAAGAACACCATCATATTGAAACCACTGAGGAAAGTGTCCCACACCTCGAGATCTGCCTTCATGGGAGTAGTAAACTGAATGAAATGATGTGGGGACACAATCCCAGAAGTAGCTTTGGACAAACTCCGCTCAACACGTAAAATTGAGGTGGCCAATTAAAGGAGCACTACAGTGTCCGGAAAACAAACTCTTTTTCCTGGCACTATAGGGTTATTAGGTACCCCCTCCCTCAGGGCCCCCCTCCTTCAGCCACTTACCTTAATCCAGCACAGGGCTCCCTTGGCGCTGGTGATCTCTCCTCCCCCTGCCGACATCAGCTCAAAATGCACATGCCCGCACGTGCATTCAAACCGCCCATAGGAAAGCATTACTCAATGCTTTACTATGGACATCAGCGTGTCCTCAATGCGATTTTCGTATTGAGGTTTGTGGAAGCGGCCTCTAGTGGCTGTCAGGGAGACAGCCACTAGAGGCTGGATTAACCCTCAATGTAAACATAGCAGTTTCTCTGAAACTGCTATGTTTACAACTGCAGGGTTAAAACTAGGGGGAGTTAACACACAGATTGGTGATTACTGTGTATATACTGTGCTTACAAATGTAATTGAGTTAAAAATAAGCAGCTACACACTCTAGAGGATACTCTTATCCCCACTAATTATAGTAATGAACCAAAGTGAGCTTAGTACAATCTGGATATAACGTCCAGACTCTAATCAAATGGGTGGAGCGCTCCACTCATTTGATTAGTAGAGTCTGGATGTTATATCCAGATTGTACTAAGCTCGCTTTGGTTTAAAACTAGGGGGACCTGGCACCCAGACCACTTCATTGAGCTGAAGTGGTCTGGGTGCCTATAGTGATCCTTTAAGTGTAACCTTCCTGACCCACTTTAACCTCACTCATCAACCGCCAAGAGCTACCAGTTTGTCCTGTAGCAACCTGCATTTTCCATGTCTGAATCAATTTCGAGTCTCAAGAAACTGAAACATGAGGTTTTTACCAATCGTCTTGTCTGTTGCCAAGGGCACCCAAAACAAATGAGCTACCCATTACAACATCCTCAGATTATATTGGCAAGCATCGGAACCTGAACTACTCACACATAGAAAATCATCACGGTAATGTGCCCAAAATGGACTGCTTGTTTCTTTTCTAACCACCCATTCTAAGAAGGAGCTACAATTTTTAAAATAAGCACAGGAGATGGAGCACCCCATAGGTAAGAAAAGGTCTTTGAAAAACTTGCCCTAAAAAAAAAAAAAAAATAGCCTAATTGATAATGGATATTAGGGTGTACTGGCAACAAAGAAAGGCCAATTCAACATCCATTAATGCCCCATGTCCAGCCTTTACCATCAATGCCCTGTGTTCCGCCCTCTTAACCAACTTGATCACTTGGTCAGATGATGTGTAAGAGACCTAGCACAGGTCCCCATCAATATAATCATTGACTAATTACCCTTTGAGATAGGACAGATGGCGAATCAGCCAGAACTTGCCAGGCTCTTTCTTAGGTACTATCCCTCGCGATAAGATCTTGATATTATTGATAGGTGGCTTGTCAAATGATCCTGCCATCCTCCCCAACTGAACCCCACTATGTAAGTAATCTCTCACAATGTCTGTAAACTCCAAAACTGACTTCAAATAGCGGTAGCTCTGCACAGCTGCCCGCTCCCAAAAAGGAAAAGCAAACCCGTGCAAAAAAAAAGTCCCTCAATGCTAACTTGTCACCCTGGTTTGTGTAACAGCTGACTCAGGTTAATATCGCACCTAACTTCACTGAGGTTAATGCCATTGGAAGTGCTAACGTCCATAAGATTGGCTGATCTGCTAACAGAAACAGTTTTTCCTATCTATGAAAGCAGTGCGCTCGCCAGTAGCCAGAGCCCTCATGCTTGAATTTACAAGCACTTCCCCACTTACACAGATGGCTGATGAGGAAGTATACAACTCCGTGCCACTGACTAAAAGGGAGCAGCAGTTATTAACTTCATCTAGAGCAGCAGGTCCATTTGGACTCACCGCATACCCAGTTTGGCTGATAAACACTGCTGAAATTGCTCATCGTACCTCCACCAGGCTATGCCCCCATAGATATGATATGCCTCCCACGTTCCATCTAGATAACAAAACAAGGGCAAACAATGCTCTTGAAACTTTCTCCCATGACATATACCTAAGTTTCTATTCCTCTTCCTCCTTCTTCACATCTATAAATTCCTGCAATTGCCCCAGAGTCTGCACAGCATTTGAAAAGTGGAGTAAGAGAGAATATTTATATTGTAAAGGTAATTGCCCCACATGAAGGAAGGTGAAGGTTTTCAGGTGTGAGTGTGAGGTGGGTATGTGTACTAGTTCTTATTAGGTTGGATATCTTAGTCCAGTAGGTAACTCCAGCATCCATCTTGTAGGATGGACAGAAATTGTTAGTCCAGGGATGAACAATAGCAATTTAGGCCTCCTGGCATAATTATTACACCCTGCACCCCCTTGATTTCCACATATACATTTATGAATACACACAGTTAATTTGCTATACTAGAAATGTTGGAGACTTAACAAAGGAATTGGATATAACAGGCTCAATAGTCAAACTGGAAAAATATGAGAATTAAGAATAGGGGGTGAAGGGTGGAGTGAAATATATAGGTTTTATAATGAATATAATTCTCATTCATCTTTTATCAGCTGACTAGAGGAGGTATCTGTAAATGTTGCTGCCATGGTCCACCAGAAAAGCACTGTTTATAGGATGCACTCAGCATATTCTAAGTCAAGTGAAATTAGTCACTTTCTGATCCAGTGAGAGTTCATTGCAGAAGATGTGCAACTTGTAACAATATGTAGAAAATGAAGGAATATAAAATGTGAGTGACTTTTTCTTTGTTAATTATGGTCTGGTGAAGTTTCAAGATGGCGAGGAACTAGGCTCCACACCTGTAATTCGTAAAACCTTGTGACATGTTGAATTCTGTACCCTTAATCTTATGTACTCTGTGACAGTGCATCCTGTTTACCAAAATGCAATTGGGTGAAAAGAAAACACAAATGAATAAATACATAATGTATAACTATATAGTTGTTGACAGTTAATCTGTCTTTTTAATGAACTAATGACTTTGTTCTGATCTGTTGGGTGAAGCAAGAGATGCTAGTTCCACCAAGTTTCCTGAAACTAAATGACTTGCAGCCAGTGACGTACAATACATGTATAGAATTGCCCTGTAATCTATTATCATGATTATTAGTATTATTATTATGTAATACAGTTGCAAGAAAAATATGTGAACCCTTTGGAATGATATGGATTTCTGCACAAATTAGTCATAAAATGTGATCTGATCATCATCTAAGTCACAACAATAGACAATCACAGTCTGCTTAAACTAATGACACACAAAGAATGAAATGTTGCCATGTTTTTATTGAACACGGTGCCACCGTACCTCCCTACTGGTTCTACTCCTGAAGGCTGGTTACTCGTACTGGGTGAGCCCCAGTTAGTACAGATATATTCTATTTTCATAATAGACATTGTATTGAGCAGGCAATCTCTCAATGTTATTATTATTATTCATGCCATTACGGACAACCTCCGCAGGCAGTTTCTCCCACCAGAGGAAGCAAGGGTTTCGGATGCCTTCAAAGCAGACATGTATCTCACAAGCGCTACTGAACCCTCAACCCCAGATCTACAAGTACACGGTACCATAGGCGTGCGTACGGGGTATGACAGGTGTGCCTGGGCACACCCTAATCCCCGCGGCCTGTGGCCCGCGCTATGTGCCTCCCTCCGTGGGCCAATGAGGGAGATCAAAGATCTCCCTCACCGGCCCACAGGCAGAGAGGGAGGCAGGAGAGGACCCGGGGAACTCTAGCCAGCTGTTCCGCCGGGTTCCTCTTGCGAGGTTGGAGCATTCCCGTGGTTACCACGGCAACGTTCAGATCTTGCGAGAGTGAACTATAGCCCCGCAGGTTAGAGGCTGTCATGTTAACTATTTGGAGGAAAACAGTATCCCTCCCATTTGTCCTGATATATTCCACTTTGCTCTACATAAGATCACTTACAGGAAAGTGATCGTGGGAAGCTGTATACAAAACCTAAGTTTATTACTTACTTACCTCTTATTACTTACCACATATTGGGTGGATTTAAGGGTATTTTCTGTACAACTAGTTCTGTATTTAAACCGACCGACAGAGATTTCCTCTAAAAATTTAAATTGACAGGCAGACAGAAAGACAGCTTGGTTTCTCCAAACATTTAAACTGATTGACAGATTTACCCAAACAGGACGGACAGGTAGATTAAACCAAACGTTTAAACTGTCAGACAGAGCGACATATAGCTTTCCTAGAAATTAGACAGAGAGATGCCAAACATTTAAACTGACACAGACAGATAGCGTTCCCAAAAACATTTAACTTGACGGACAGACAGGCCACTTTTCCCAAAATTTATGTTGACAGACTGATAGAAAGATAGATTCACCAAACATTTAAATGGTCAAAGGAGAGTGAGAGGGGGAGCAAGGGGGGGGTGGGGGAGTTGAATAGAGAGAAACAGTTTAAACACATACCATTAGAGGATAGTTGGACTACCATTGGGAATTCAATAAACTATGTGCTCACAAAGATTAAAATGATGTTCATTCCCATTGAAGAAACTCCAGTTGCTTTACGGTAAGGTTGCCAAACTCCATTTTTTCATTTACATCTAATTGAGGCATACATCTCTATGCTGTTGAGATGGTTTGAGTAGCAAGTACACAGGTGATGCTCTGTAAGAACCTTGGATACATCTGGAAGGGAATGGAATGTTTGAGAAGTTATAGCAGCAGTTACATTTCTGACATCACAGTATGACATCACCTATTGAAATTTCACTGATATGGATCACAATTTATATTGTTAGGAAGAAGAAGTTTCTTATTATCATAAAAACAGACTGATAAAAAAATCAAAACGATTCTTCACAATTAATACATATTTGATTCAAAACTTAAGTTAACTTAGAAATATTCCAGTTAAGAGTTACTTTTACAAATTTAGGACAAAAATACATGAGATTGAAAGAAATCTAATTCAGCGATTTACAATTTAGAATCTTTTGGTTAAAATAATAATTTATTTATATATTTATGTTTCCTTCTTTTTTTAATTTACCCACAATAAATATGGCCGATGGAGTGGTATAGAAGACATACAAAATGTACCCCCCAATTCCCTTTTTTCTTTCTTTTTTTTCTCTTTGCTGCTTTCTGGGACGTAAACCCATATGACTACATGTCCCATCTGCCTAAAGAAACACAGAGAGCCAAAACACGTCACTTCCAGGTGACGCACGTTGTCAGAATTTTTATATCAGCAGACATTTTGTGCTAAGAAAGAAATTAAAAGGTATATTGCCAGAGTCACTCAGAACAGAGCAGACTCCATTTTGCTATCTTCAGGATAACAAAAACACATAATTTCTTCTTACTTTCTGTAACTAACCACTGAGCTTGAACTAAAGGAATGCATTATATAAACACAGACACTAGTGACAGAGAAGACTAAGTAATTAATTTTACTTTCTAAATTTTACAAGGTTCCATTGTAAGTAAGGGGTGAAATGGAGTTTAGAACTGTCAATTTTACAAATTACGATCAAAGTAGTTGCCACAAAGACTGAGACAAATGCTTTGAACTGACAGCAAATCTAAGTTATGGTAGTTATTTTAGATAAGCAAAATTACGTCAAAATCGTCATCAGGAAAAGTTAACTCTTTCCTGGATAAGAAGGATTAGCTAGACGAGACTGCCCTCTATGGACCAAATACCTAAATCGCGATCCATAGATTGAACCTATCTACAGTTTCCTATTGGCTTATCAACTAATGACGTACAGAGAGTCTGGCCCTTTAAAAGTTAGGACAAAGGGAAGAGAGAGGGTAGTTGGTAGAGAGACAAGTTGAAGTTTGGGGATTCCAATTCGGACATACAGAGAAAGAAACTCAAGAAACATTCTCTGGGACTAACACTCTACTCTTAAACTCTCTTGGACACTCAACTCTTAAACTCTTTGACACTTAGAATTTTACTCTGACTTTCTAACCAACACCACTTTTCTCTATTACTCACGCACCTCCATACAACCAATCAAGTTCCTGGGACTACCTACTCATCTGATGAGAATATCTACATAACTGGTAATTATGCTGGTTTTATTTAATTATTTTAAATTAATTAAAATTTACTAATGGCATGATATATGACTGGATAAATCACGGTCAGATTTCAATATTTAGAAATCTTAGTTAACTAAAGAATATATAGTTATAAACATTCCATTCTGCAGGTGGAATTAAGAATAATTATATATTAATGTGATAGTATCACATGTTAGCATACCGCCGTTTTTATCCAGGTGTATTGATTTGCTCTAAAATAAGATAAGATATCTTTTTAGGCAAATTAAAATTCGGCTTTTGTAAAAATCTGGTAGATTATTCTTATTGGATGGTTCCAGGAAATGACTAATGAGCTGGTTTGAATGTTATTTTAATTGAAAATCACAGGAGAATAGGATACTATATGCCTAGGAGGATCTAGCCAGCATTGAAAGGGTTACTCAGTTGATTTAACTGTTAGCCAAGGTTTTATGGCTTTTCGCTGTGTGAAGCTTACCCTCATAAATCTTAAGTGACAGATGATGTTGTTAGCCATTGGAACGTGTATAGCCATTCCATTGTATTGCATACTTATGTTATACTAAATATTCACTGATTATTATCATGCATGTTGCCTAATATTATTTGTTAATTAATTTGTTACAATAAATAAATCTATTTTTATAACAAATTGTGATTTATGGAATACATTTCAATTATTTGATAAACGATCTCTAAAATCTAAGAGAATTGTAATAGTGGGCAATTCTCGACTGTTTAATATTATCATCCCATAAATATCCCCACAACGTAATTCCATTACTCACCACGGTCGAGACATACAGCGGTAAAATATACTACATGTCCCATCAAGCTCTGGGGTCTGCAGCGCATCACTTCTGGGCAACGTACGCGACTCCAGAGGAGACAGGAAGTTGAACAGCACACTGGACCGGAATAATGAAAGTAAGACTGTCTATAAATACTTAGACATCTCCCAGACTTATTTAAACTTCTGAAGAAGCCCAAACCCTGGCGAAACGCATTAAGTGAGGACGGGAAGCACTTTTTTAATATATAGATTTGTATATTCTTATTTATTAATTATATTTACTGCTATTTTCCATATCCCTTTCGATTTTTTATTTTCTTCCCTGCTGCTGTTCTATTGGATTCCTGCATATGCTGTATATCCTCTGGTGGGGATTATACCACCACAAGTCCATATCACCAGAGCAAGTGTGGCGAAACCGGCCTCGTCACGTGTCCTTGGAGGGGGCTGCTTGCCCGCCTCTTGCCTTTGGACTATGGACCAGACTTTATGTGAATGTGTTATACCCCAGATAGGAATCCCATGGAGCCCATTCGTATGAAACTGACTGTAAAGACTTTGGCTCCATGGCGATTAAACTGTATTTGTGTGGTCCGAGCGACATTCACTTAATAATGTGCGCTCAGACCTGAGCTATCTGGGGATATGTGAAATGTCTGTGTGTTATGTGTAAAATGTGACTTTATGTATTTTTTTTTTCAATTTGACAATTTTTATTGTACAGTACATGCCAACGTATTGTTACATAGTGCACCGGAATTATTTCAAAACAGTTGTGGTGACAGGGAGGGTGATGTATGCGTATACTTATCGTGTGCAGCTTTCTTTGCTGGGTATCACTCAACGCCTGTGTGGATACCCATATCTGTGGTAGCTCAGCGGGCTACCAGTTCTGTTCATAACCCTAGTGCCTTGACTTAACCCAATACCTGTCCCTCCACTGTGTTTGTGCTGTGCCTTTCGCTGTTAGGGTGCCTAAATCGACTTCGGAGGCATATAGTGTACTTTTGAACATAAGAGGGGGTGTACGAAGGGGAGGGGGGGAGACGGGGGGGGGGTTGGGGGGGGAGCCAATGCTGTGTGGGCCTATGTTTGGCCCCGGACGTTGTCCGTCGTGGAGGTAGCTAGATATTCTGTCCATCTATTATGGGCGTGGTGTAAGTGTTTTTTCATACCAAATTGGTGTGCGTATATCATTTCGTATTTCCAGTTGAGTTCCACTTGTTTCAACAAAGAGTTTTGGTTGGGGGGTGTTGTGGACTTCCATAATCTAGCTATGCACATTGCTGCTGAGATCAAGATGTGGTATGCAATTGCCCACTTTTCTTGAGTGATCATGTCGGGTGGGATAAATAGGATGCATAGCTCTAGTGTTAGTGATATTTGTGTTTGGATTGCTTCAGTTAACGTGGCTTGGGTCTCTTCCCAGAATGATTGTAATGCTTGGCATGACCACCATATGTGAGACATATTGCCTTTGGCTTGTCCACATCTCCAGCACTTATTAGAGGAGTTTGGCCATATCTGGTTGATCTTGGTGGGCACGAGGTACCATCTATATAACAGTTTGCGTTGTAACTCAAGGTGATTGGCACATGAGGTAATGCCTTTATGTGAAGAGTAAGCCTTGGCCCAATGTTCCTGAGGAATAGTTTTCCCTAGTTCCTTGTGCCATGCCTGTATGTGCGTGTCGGTGAGTTCGATTGGTTGTTGGAGGAGGGTGTTATAGTTCAGAGAGAGTAGCCTTTTGAAGGGCTTTGTGGTAACGCATGACTGTTCAAATTCGGTCATGCGCTGTGGTAGTGGAACCCCTGCCCTAGTGGGTGCATTGTTGGATAAGTATGATTTTATTTGCAGGTACGCAAAGGTTAGTTTGTGGGGGAGGTTGAATTCCTGCTGTAGGTCCGAGAAGGGTTTAAGACCCTTTTCGTTGTATAGTTGGACAACGGTTTCAATGCCTCCTTGTGTCCATGGGCGGGTGTTTAGTGTCGGTATTGCCACTCCTAGGGCGGTTAGGGGGGTTGCTAGTGCCGTTGGGTGGTAGAGTACCATTTTGTGTTTGGATATGTCCCATTGTTGTAAAATGTGTTGGGTCGTTGGTAGGAGATGTGTGGTGTCTTTCCTATGACTTTTAGGGGTCCAAAAGATAGAGTGTAATGTCGGGTGTTGGGCCCAATAGTTTTCTATCTGTAGCCATTGGGGTGACTCTTGCCTTTGGCGTAGGTGCGGTATCACTGATAGTGCTGCCGCTTTGTAGTATGATCCCAAGTCCGGGAGACCTAGTCCTCCGTGGGTTATTGGTTTTTGCAATACTTTAGTTGCTACTCTAGGTGTCTTATGTTGCCATATGAAGCTTATGAGTAGTTTCGTTAGAGTTTTAAGGAAGTTCCCCGGTAATTGTATTTGTAGCGATCTATATAGGTATTGCAGTTTTGGCAATAGGGACATTTTTATTGCCGCTATGCGTCCGACCCACGATAGATATTTCCCTTCCCAGGAGTCTAGGGTGTTTTTGAAGGTTGTTAACAGGGGTTGGTAGTTTAGTTGAAACAAGGAAGTGGGGTTCTTAGCCATTTTGACTCCCAGAAATGTGAGGTAGTCGTTTCTCCAGTCCAGTGGGAATGATTTTTTGAGGGTGTCCAGTTGGGTGCTATTTATATTGAGGCTTAGGGCTTGTGTTTTGGTAACATTAAGTTTGTAGTATGAGAGCTGTCCGTACTCCGTAATGAGGTGCATAAGGTTGGGTAGGGAAATTAATGGTTGTGTGAGGGTTAGGAATATATCGTCTGCAAAGATACTTAATTTGTATTCCTGTTGATTGAGTGGTATCCCATGTATTGCAGAGTTTGACCTAATTTTGGCTGCTAATGGTTCTAATGCCAGCACGTATAACAGTGGGGACAGGGGGCAGCCCTGTCGTGAGCCATTGTTTATAGTGAATTCATTCGATCGGAATCCTGCATTTAGGACTCTCGCAGTCGGGTTGCTATAGAGTGCCGCTACCGTGTTTATGAATTGGCGGGGGAAGCCAAATTTCGTCAAGACCATTTGGAGGAATTTCCAGTTAAGTCTATCAAAAGCTTTCTCCGCGTCAAGCGAGACTAGGAGACCGCTTAAATTTTTCCTCCTTATGCTGTGAATGAGATCTAGCACTTTGCGTGTATTGTCAGCTCCCTGTCTGCCTGCCACGAACCCCACCTGGTCATCATGGATCAGTGTTGGGAGTATCGACCCTAGGCGACGGGCATATATCTTTGCATATATTTTAGCATCTGTGTTTAATAGGGAGATTGGTCTAAAGTTTGGGCAGTGGGTCGGTGGTTTGCCGGGTTTGGGGAGTGTAATGATGTGTGCCAAAAGGAGGTCTGTTGGGAGCGTCTTGTTCTGAGTGGCCTCGTTGAATAGGGAGGTCAGTGAGGGGGCTAGTTGAGTTGCGAACTTTTTGTAGTACGTATTCGTAAATCCGTCTGGACCTGGTGCTTTGTTTTTAGGCAGAGTGCGTATGGCTTCAATCACTTCACTTGTTGTGACTCGGTTGGCTAGTTGGGCCGATTGGTCTCTCGTGAGAGTCGGGAGGGGTATGTCTCTTAAGTAGGTCTCTATCTCTTTGTCCGCGGGGGTAGGTGATTGGTTGGATTGTGCCAGATTATATAGTTTATCATAGTAGTTAGCGAACGTGTTGCTGATATCGATGGGGGAGATTACTTTTTTGTTATCGTGGGTGAAGATGTGTGAGATCTTTGTGTTAGCTTCTTTTCTTTTCAGTCTTGCGGCTAACGTTTTGCTGGCTTTGTTTCCCTGGGCGTAGTGTGTGGAGTTAAGTTTGCGAAGATTAAACCCTACTCGTTCTAAAGTGTGAAGTTTGATCTTATCCGCAATGTCTTTAATGGCTTTCTGTGTTGTCACCGTCGGGAGGGTTTTGTTCACGGTCGTAAGATCCGCTAGTTGTTTGTGCCATGCCAGCCACTGGGTTTGGCTGGAACGTTTTAGTTGTGCTGCCCGCCTCAAAAGTAACCCCCTAATGACTGCTTTGTGTGTTTGCCATACTGTGCTAGCTGTTGTTTCCCCTGTGCTATTCAACGTGAAGAATTCCGAGATGGCTTCCTCAAGTTGCTTAGCGAAGGATTCGTCCGTCAGCAACGTTTCGTTTAGTCTCCATGGGCTCTTGTGCTTGTAGTCATAGTTGTCTTTTAGGGTCAATGTCAGTGGGGCATGGTCAGACCACGTGATCTGGCCTATGGAGCAGTCTAGCACTTGGTCTAGGTGTTGGCTCTCCAAGTGAAATCTATCTATTCTTGTGTATGTATTGTGTGTGGAGGAGTAGTATGTATAGTCCTTTTCCTGTGGGTGTAGGACTTTCCACACATCGTACAGTCGGTGGCTGTCCAGTAGTTTGAGGTATGTTGTGCATGCCCTGTCGTGTCTAGCCTGAGACCCTTTGGTGGTTGCAGAAGTCGTGTCGCTGTGGGGGTCTAGAATTTGGTTGAAGTCCCCACAGAGAACTAGAATGCCTTCCTGAATCGGTTGTAGTAATGTTAGTATTTTATGTAGAAAGTTTCTTTGGTTTGTGTTTGGTGCGTATATATTGGCCAGAGTGTATTTAGAGTTGTTGATTGTGCATATGACTATGATGTACCTTCCCTCTATGTCTTTCTTTGTGTCGTGGTGGTGGAAGGAGACCGTGTTGCTGATTAAGATTGATGTGCCCCCAGTTTTTTTCCCGGACGTGGCATGGAACTGGTGTGGATATAGGGCTTGTTTCATTGCTGGTGGGGATTTAAAGTGTGTCTCTTGCAAGCAAATGACATCAGGTTGATCCCTTTTAAGATCTCTGAAGAGGCAGTGCCTCTTATATGGGGTGTTCAGCCCCCTAACATTATAGCTTTGTATTCTCATATAGTGGTGCCATGGTGTAAGCTGTGCCTTCGGCTATGGTTGAATGTGAGCGGGGTTGTGGGTGGCTTGTAAGATAAGAAGTAATTCTCTGTTGATATTGTGGGTACCTGTCGCAGATGTGGTACCAATGTGTGTGTGTGGACAGAATATATTCATCAGCAGCTCGTGCTGTCCGTTTCCTCCGCATTTTATTAATCCTGTGGCTCATTGTAGGAATTGTAGGTTCTCTACTGGCGGGGTTGGAAGGGGATGGAGGGGGGGGGGAAACAGGGGGTGTGTCGCACTGAGAGCATGCGAACAACAATTGTAAAACTATAACCCAGTTATGGGTTGAGGTACCGAACTTCGGTGCCATTTGGAGCGTGGTTGAGTAGTGTGATATAAGCCAAGTATTGGCCGCATTTGAATGCTGTGATCACGTGTATCAATGAGCAGTGCCCTCATGGCTGCCAGAGAAATTGTATGCGATTGTTACCGCCAAAGTCAGTGGGCCCATGGGTCCGTGGAGCTGACTGTGGTTATGCATCAACATGTCAAATTATCAACTACATTAAGAGGTTAACATACAGTGTCATCATACATTTTTTTTTTTTTTTGATAGAGTGAAAGTTGATATGCTTGAACCCTTTAGCATATACTAACAATTAACTGGTATTAGCAACACTATGGAGCTTCGGGCTTGTGTAGCACAGACGTGTTCCAGTGTGCTGATTCCCCCCCGACGTGTGGTGTATGCATGAGTATGTTGCTGTAGTGTCTGCCTGCATACCTCGCTTATAGTACACCCCGGTACGTTAATCCGGATGCCCACCGGTGTGTACACATGCTGTGGTGCAAGTGTGGTGCGACAGTGTTGCTGGCCGAGGTTATGTGGGCCTGTGTGGTGTGAGTGTATGGGGGCAGCATAGTCACCTGTCCGGCGGACAGTCATCTGTGTACAAGACAAAGCAACACATAGTCCGGTGTAAGACACCTTCAGTCCAATTTGAGTTCAATTGCGTGGGGACCGCTTATCTGGATGGCCTCGCGCCATTTTAGCTGCTGTAGCGAGTCTCTTGGCGTTTGGGCTTCATCTCATTGCTGGGGCTTATTACTCTCTCCCTCCGGCTCGCTGTTTCTTCCAGTCAGAGTGTAGCTTGGTCGGGTGCTGCTGATTGTCCTGCCTTGGGTGGGTGTTGGGTTGAAATGGTATGCCCCATTTCTTCAGGGCTTTCTTGCCTTCCTCCGGGGTGGTGATGGTGTTGATAACTCCATTTTTGTGAACGAGGAGGCGCACTGGGTGACCCCAGCGGTACGGCATGTCATGGAGACGGAGCGCATCCGTTATCGCTTTAAATTCTCTCCTCTTCTGCAGGGTTCTCGCTGAGAGGTCGGAGTAGAGTTGGATGGTGTTATACGGGGTCGGGAGGTCCTTCCGCCTCCTGGATGCCTGCATTAGCGCTTCCTTTGCGTGATAGTAGTGGAGACAGGCAAGTATGTCCCTGGGGGCTTCTTCTGGGAGGAATTTAGGCTTCATAACTCTGTGGGCTCTGTCAATGAGGAGGACGTCCGCCGGGAGATCCGGAGCCAGAGTTTTAAATAGATCTGTGAGGTGTGCTACTATGTCCGTTTGTTTAACGGCTTCAGGTATACCTCTGAAACGTATGTTGTGCCTCCTAGACCTATCCTCCAGGTCCATAAGTTTGGTTTGGCATGCTGCTAGTTCTTGTTCCAGGTGCTGAACATGGTCGGCCATATCGTTGTGTGCCTCCGCGTATTCGCCCATGCGGTTTTCCATATGGGCAGTCCGGTCTCCCAATTCCTGGACGTCTTTTCGTAGATCTGAGATGGATTTGTTAAAGTTGTGCAGTAATTTCTCTGACATATCGTCGAGACATGTCTGGAGGATAGCTTGAGTGACTGGGAGGGCTGTTTCCCCAGGGGATCCCTGTAAAGGGAGTGTGTCGTCGCCATCTTGGTCCGGCACACTCTGAGCTCTTGGCGCTGGTTTCGGGCCGTAAAGAACCCGTTTTTGTCAGGTTTGTCGGGATTCCGTTTCCCCTTTTGTTGGGCCATGTTGAGGGGTGTTGTGGTGATGTTTTTTTTGTGATCAAAGTTGCTAGTTCAGTCGCTTTTGGGCCAGTTTCGGACGGAGCCTCTCTCACATGCGTCCGTCCTCGCCGAGCGCCAAGCCACGCCCCCCGACTTTATGTATTTTAAAGTGTTTTGTGTCTTTTTGCAACCATGTGCTTAATGGAGTCTTGTGTCTGTCCTGGGAGATAATTGAATTACTTATCTCCAGGATAGAAGACTCTGAAACTGGTTTGGGCCAGAAAGCCATGCTTCATTTAGTCACAAAGGACTTTTTACTAACTTTTGAACCCCTTGTCTGATTTGTGCCATTTTGAATATGTTGTTCCCCTGAATGGATTGATTGTGAATATGTAATTTTATGTGAATGTGATGTATGGTTTTGGAGTTATGAAAGTTGGGTAGAAAGTATGTTTTAACTGTATGTATAATTGAGTTTCCTCTCAGGATAAGGGGAGGGAATATGTGGGATGTAACTGTGATGTGATTGGTTGTTTTGTAACGCCCTGTGGGCTGTACTATGTTTGTGGATTGGGAATAAAAGAGACTGTATGTGACAGTACAGGAGTTCCTGTTTTAACCCTCAAAGTGAAGTGTCGTCTCATTATTGGGGAAAGGATTTATTGTATGCTGTTCCAGTTTGACTGCTAGGAGAGTAAACCTATTCGTATGGTTCCTATTCAACTGTCTACAGCATTCATATGCTTGGGAGAATTTATATGCTTCTCCGGTTCGGTGATTGTGGTGTCTGCTGCAGTGCTTGGAGTCCTCAGGAAGCGCTAGGAGCATCCTTCAACGGAGGTACCCAGTCGGGGTGCCAGGCGATCCGTTACATTGGTGGCAAGCGGTGGGATGGCGTCCTAGTGCGAGGTAAAGCAGCTCAGAGACACAGTTCGTTTGGATTTACAAATTGAAGGCGACGCTAGTGTTTATACAGCGTCCCTGTCTACATAAAGATTTGGGAAAATGGGGTTCGTGGATCCTTGGGCAACACGCACACCTGAGGAAGAGAGTGAATTGGAATGGAGAGATATTGCCCGGCAAGAACTATGGTATGATGCCCTGGAGGAAGTCCAGTATCAACGGCAGCAGCGCCTTCCTGGTGTCGCATACCGGTTGGAGGAACAAATGGCCTGGCGGATGCCGCTTCTGGGAGACCAACCCGGAGGGCAGCAGGTCAGACAACTTGAGTACCTCGTGGAAAGGGAACTGAGCCTTGACGCCTCATACCGGGCACTGTGGTGGTGCACTGTCCAGCCAGAAACATGGAGGGCAGAGGGCATCCAGCCGGAGGGGGAGAACTACACTAGCCCTGGCCTGTTGTGGAAGGCCTTAGCAGAAGACGTCGACTTTGGCAGTCCAGCAGAGTCACGGTACTGGGCTATCTTTTATTACCGAGGTGAGATGGTACAGGGCCCGAGATCTATGGGACTGGGACAAGACCTCCACCGTTTGGCTGCCATGGAACGACAGCTAGAGATGGACTATGTGGAACTACTAAACTCATGTCAGCCACAGGGCATGGACACAGAACAGGAAAACTGGCTGGGGGACCCAGACCTGCCAACCTACAGCTGGGAAAACGCAGCCGAGGTACCCCCTGCTTCACTACCAGCTGCAGACTGGTCCTGGGAAGACCCACAGATGGCAGGTGGAGATGGGATGGCGGTCTCTCTACCGGCCCTACAGGGATGCTGGGCGGTCGGCCCAGATCTCCAGTGGCAGTATGTATCACAGGGAGCTGAAGGTGCTGTCCTTCCTCCCCAGCGGCAGTGTGAGTTCCAGGGAGCCAAAGGTGCTGTCCTTCCTCCCCAGCGGCAGTGTGAGTCCCAGGGAGCTGAAGGTGCGGTCCTTCCTCCCCAGCGGCAGTCTTTTTCCCAGGGAGCGGAAGGTGCAGTCCTTCCTCCCCAGCGGCAGTGTGTCCTGCAGGAAGCGGAGACAGTCTGTCTTTCACCCCAGCCGCAGGACAAAATATTGAAAGGGGAGACAGTTGGTCCCCCTCTCCACCAGCAAAGAGAGTGTCAGGGAGAGGAGCAGGTTACCCCCTCTCCCCAGCGGCTGTCTACAGTTCAGAGAGAGGAGCTTGTTACACCCTCTCTCCAGCGGCAGCCTAACCCACCAAGGGGAGATGTTAAGCCCCACAGCTATGCAGATGGGACCGTAGTCTCTGCACTTGCAGCACCAGGGGTAGGGACGGTCGGTCCTGTCCCCCAGCCACAGAGCAGTGTATCCAGAGGGGAGACAGTCGGTCTCCCCCTCCCACAACCAGGCTCCAACCAGGCTACTTCAGTGGTAGCGCTGGCACCCGGGCAGAGTACCGCTGGTCTCTGCCACTCAGCAACCCACCAAGGCAGTCTACCAGCCCCCCGCACAGCCGTGGTGAGGCACCTGGACATGGACAAGTTGCTATTTTATCCAGGTGTAGTAACCAGTTATTGTGGGTGGGCTGTATTGCTGTTTGTGCTTCGTGGGTGGGTTACTGGACTAACCAGGGCACTGACCGGCAGGAGGTCAGATGCCCTGTTAGTCTGGATGGTAAAGGGGAGAAATGTGGCGAAACCGGCCTCGCCACGTGTCCTTGGAGGGGGCTGCTTGCCCGCCTCTTGCCTTTGGACTATGGACCAGACTTTATGTGAATGTGTTATACCCAAGATAGGAATCCCATGGAACCCATTCGTATGAAACTGACTGTAAAGACTTTGGCTCCATGGCGATTAAACTGTATTTGTGTGGTCCGAGCGCCATTCACTTAATAATGTGCGCTCAGACCTGAGCTATCTGGGGATATGTGAAATGTCTGTGTGTTATGTGTAAATGTGACTTTATGTATTTTAAAGTGTTTTGTGTCTTTTTGCAACCATGTGCTTAATGGAGTCTTGTGTCTATCCTGGGAGATAATTGAATTACTTATCTCAGGATAGAAGACTCTGAAACTGGTTTGGGCCAGAAAGCCATGCTTCATTTAGTCACAAAGGACTTTTTACTAACTTTTGAACCCCTTGTCTGATTTGTGCCATTTTTGAATATGTTGTTTCCCTGAATGGATTGATTGTGAATATGTAATTTTATGTGAATGTGATGTATGGTTTTGGAGTTATGAAAGTTGGGTAGAAAGTATGTTTTAACTGTATGTATAATTGAGTTTCCTCTCAGGATAAGGGGAGGGAATATGTGGGATGTAACTGTGATGTGATTGGTTGTTTTGTAACGCCCTGTGGGCTGTACTATGTTTGTGGATTGGGAATAAAAGAGACTGTATGTGACAGTACAGGAGTTCCTGTTTTAACCCTCAAAGTGAAGTGTCGTCTCATTATTGGGGAAGGATTTATTGTATGCTGTTCCAGTTTGACTGCTAGGAGAGTAAACCTATTCGTATGGTTCCTATTCAACTGTCTACAGCATTCATATGCTTGAGAGGATTCATATGCTTCTCCGGTTCGGTGGTTGTGGTGTCTGCTGCAGTGCTTGGAGTCCTCAGGAAGCGCTAGGAGCATCCTTTAACGGAGGTACCCAGTCGGGGTGCCAGGCGATCCGTTACATATACCACCACAAGTCCATATCACCAGAGCAAGTTATTGCTCTGGAAATTGTAAGTAGGATAACTGCTTATATTTTATTGCATATTATTTACTACATACTGTGCCATTGGATTTTATTCTGTTTTTTCCTATATACGGTTGCTGAGAACTGGACACCAACTACAGCTACAATCCACATATCCTAAAACAGGGATTATACTATCCATATATATACACGGCAGATCTCTTAACAGCTCTAAAAAGTGTGAGTTTATCTTTTATTGGGTTTTTATATAAACATATGTTTTAATATTTATGTGACTTATTGCACTATTATTTTTTCCTGTTTTTATTATTTTGAGGGTTATATATACCACCACAATATTAGACTTCCTCCTGTGTATGTATATATGACTATTTTATTGTATGCACTTTTAGAATTGTCAATCTTTTGGCGCGGTTTACCATATTCTTCTTTGTTACTTTTTGTTTAAAACAACTTGTTTTCAGCTGCAGACTTTTTACAGTCTCTACAAAAAAATTTAAATAAATAAACCTGTCCCCATATGCCACAATGGGCACTACTCTAAATGACAGTTATCTCTAAAGGCAGTGAAAGAAATCCTTTTTCCTGTGGCCAATATTGTGAGCTAAGCATCTGCCTGAATGTTTCCACTCTGGCTGGCGGAGGGCGGGCTGACGGAGGGCGGGCTGACAGCAGGCATGCATAATCTCACATTCTTGCGATCTCTTTATAAGATTGCGGTTGCGCGATCTCTGCTGTTTCCGACCTTCCGGGAACAGCATGGAGTGGCGGCCATCTTTTATGTGGCATTTCATGGCAAAACCCCAATTGGGAAATGCTTGTCTATGGCAAAGTTAACAGATGGCTGCTATGACTTACTAACAGAACATCACAGATGATTAAGAGCTACTTACTGACCGTCCTGACTTAAATTGATTAGCCAAGCATATGGCAAGTGCTTTTCAGCAAGGCTCTGTGCATGCCTTGCCTGAAGAGGCATCAAACTATCATACACTTTGGGGGAGTGTGTGTATGATTGGTGACAGCACAACATAGCCTCTCTCTGGCCCTGTTATCTGTTCTGCCTATAACCTAGGATAAAGATATCCTAGGAATATTATGCGTTATTATCCTTATATTTAACCTATGTGTTTTGTTATTTTGGAGAGTAAGATAAAATATAGAAATCCACACCAATCTACTCTGGAGTGTATCTTGGATCCCGGTCCAACATTGTTCAGGAACAGATCATTGTAGAGTTTATAACAAAGTAGTAGTAGGAGAAATACAATAAAAGGTTTCTCCTTCTTCAATGCAATGGGTGCACTGACTGTGCAAGGAATGA